AAGTGTTTTGATTTTTTGGAGACTTGCCGAATGCAACTAGGCTGAACCCAGGAAGCACCCCTTTTCCAGGGATGGAAAAGAATGTGGCATTAGGTGCCATAACTCCCCAATTCCTATGCCCGTGACAGACATCACTAATCAGAGAAATTAATTTTGGTTCAATTCAACAGATATGTATTGAGTGTTAAAATGTGCAAGATTCTTTGCTAGAAAATGCTGGGGCTACAAAGAAGAATGGACTCAGCCTCTGTCATTCAGGGTTTTATAATCTGTTTAAATCAAATCATGAGACAAATCATGTCTCTGAGTCACTCAGATACCTTTAGCTCTTACCTAATATTTTAATTTACATTATTCGGATATAGATGTGTCAGTGTTTTTCCATTTTATGTCATGTGCTTTTATATTTCTACCATGCTATTCTTAAGCACAAAGAGGAACTATGGGTTCTATTTATTTCCTATTGTAATAATATTGATGATAATTACAGCAACTACCTTTGTCATGTATTTATTTTATTTGATCTGTAAAATAATCCTTTGAGGTAGCTATTGTTACTGTCATTTGCTGATGGGGAAACCAAGGCTCAGAGTGATAAAGCAACTTACTCAACTTACCCACTCACCTGGGAAGGGTGGTCCCTGGACCATACTAGCCTCCAGCTGCAAGAGGACATCCTTAGCAGCCAGTAATGACACTGTCCACCTGCCACTCTGGCAGGCGGCTCTGTGTCTTGGCCTGGGTAGCCTGAACTAGTCTCTAGTCAAAGGATAAAGTCAAAGAGTCTCAAGCCTTAATCCTGTGGCATTTTGGATTGTGTCCATTCCATTATCCTCTCAGCAATGATGGAAAACATGACTTCCCAAAGAGCTCCTTCTGCTTGGTACAAGAAACCATCGAATGCCATCTTTGGCATTTGCTAATTTGAAGTCAGACTTTCAAAGATGCACATATGGATAACACATTAAGAACATCTCAACACCCGCCCATGGCGCCACTTGCGAGAGCAGCGGCCCAAAAAGCAGGACTGGAGGACTCAGGCCTCCCCTTGGGCGCTTCTAGAACCGTCAGACAGCCTTCCTCAGGCGCGCTTGACTGTGCTGCGCTGACATCTTCAACATGAAGGCAGGTTACATCCAGGAATCTGCATATCACAGTGAAGACACTCAATAAATATTAAATAATAATTATTGTTTCCTTCACATTTTCTGACAGGATAAAATCCCAGTAAAGAGCCTTTAAGGTCTAATTACTTCATAGGCAGTGAAACCAAACTGCTAGTTGAAAAATTAATTACGGAGCCGTGGTAGATGGAGGAGTAGGAAGTTGTTTTGAGCAGCGTGTCACCCCAAAACTCCACGTAAGGTGTGGAGCAGTAAACACCGCCGTGAACTGCCGAAAATGAGTGAGCAAAGGGAAGCTAGCTTTGCAGGGAGCATGGCACGGACTTCAGGGCATTTACAGATTACTTAGGTACACAAAATGTGTGTGAGTGACCACCGGAATGCATTAATAAGCAGAAAATGTATTAGGGATATTTAGAACCGTATGCAGATGATCGCCATCATACAAATGAAGGCCCCAGATATTAATAAAAACAATTACAGTAGAAATTAGCATTTACTAAGCCTTAAGTGTAAGCCAGGCCCTATTTCAAGTGCTTTAACTATATTATCTCACTTAAAATGAGAAAGCGGAAGCCCAGAGAAGTTAAATAACTTGCCCAACATCACACAGTTAGTAGTTAAAAGAAATTAAAAAGCCCAGGATTTGCCAGGCAAAGGCATATTCACTGTGCCATTCTCTAATTTCCTAAGAGATTGCTGAGTTTCCAAGTCCTTAAAGACATATCCAGAGATTACCTCACCTGCAGTTTTCTAACTGCCACATGCAACCATGGAAGTTGCTTCAGAAGTTCTACCAGCAATAAAGTGTTGGTGCCAAAGAGGAGTGAGTTCAGCTCCCTGGGAAGAGATGTGTGCTGCTGGAAGCTGCATATTGGATTTCCACATAACATTTTGGTTTTAAACAAAAAGAGAAAGGGTGCTCTATGGTTATAGTTCAAGGGTCAGCAAACATTGTCTGAAAAGGGCCAAATGGTAAAATTTTAGGTTTTTCAGGCCACAACAACTTAACTCTGCTGTTGTCATGCTAAAGCAGCTATATATAAATAAATGAATGGGGCTGCGTCCCAGTAACACTTCCTTTATGAAAGTAGGTGATGGGCCATAGTTTGCTGACTTCTGGTCTAGGCCTTCCCTCTATGGTCCGTAGAGTTTGCCTAAACTTTCTAAGTAGGGGTTGTCTTGCTTACCCACAAAGAGAAGGTATATTGTCCAAGACCCCCATATTTATTAATGCCCATCATAGGTTAAAGCAAAGGAAACTAATGTATATTGAATGTGAACTTTGTGTCAATCACTCTACTAATGGTTCTATGTCTGAACTAATCCTCACTGTAACTGTGTAAGGCCAATGGCATGATCCCCTTTAACAAAGAAGGAAACTAAGACTTAAAGAAGTGAAAAATCGCAAGTGGAGTTGAGCCAAAGTCTCACTCTGTGCCATCACACCATATTGATGTGTCTAAAGCCACATGACTTGTTCTGTCCTATAATAGACAGAAGGTCATTGGTAAGTCACCCTCAGTTGATTCTTCTCTAGGAAAAAACATTCAAGTTCACTTCATAAGCTCACTTTGCTCCCCCCAGGTGCTTCACCATCTCTATTAAGTTAGAGACTTAAAGATTTGTGCTACCATTGCTATTTGAGTTTTTCCAAGACTTAACATGGGAGCAGAATAACCTTGCAATTTCAATAAACTGTTCTCCAATTTATTCTTTCTAGTCCTCCATTGTGTATCTTAGCAGGCTGCTCTGGGGGGTGGGGGGTTGTATTATCTGGTGAGCCTCCTGATCCATATGTCTTTATAAAGATCTTTTTCTTTTGTTTGTTTATCTCTATCCTTTTTTCTCTCCCTCCTGTACTTGTCTCTCTTGAATTCATACTATGCTGGAAAATTCTGGAATTCTAAGTCTTCAGTAGCCTCCTTTTCTTCAAATATTTCTTGACACACTACTAGCTCAGTTATATGCTACCAGTAGAGAAAGAAATCTAGTTTCTTCTTCCTCCATGGGAAAGGTTGAAAATGTGAGGCTGAGATACTGATAAGTAGAATACTAAATCTCTTCCAGAGCATATATTCATTGCCTTCTCTCATGTTCACCCAAATACCTTGGAATTGAAGGACCTCATCATCTATTTTCAATTAATTCTGAATTGCTTTCCTTTCAAGAACTGATCAGCCCCATCCATCTGGCAGTAGGAGGTTGGTGCCATCCCAGGAGTCAGTGACAGCATCGCCTCTAGTGCCTCTCAGTTCCAGAAAAATCCATGTCCACGAGCCACTGCAGCCCACCTCCATAACTGAACAGTGACCCAGCTGCATGTGAAATGAAAGAGAAATCCACCACATGTGGAAAATTTGGCCATCAGTGAGCAGCTCTGCAGGCTTTCATTCGGGGATAGACCACAGAATTGGCTCTCCATCAACAATCAAACGATCCTTAGCTGTTATCAGCCACTTCCATCACCTCTGAGACTGACAGGTTTCCAATAAAGCCAATGGCCCCCTCCCCCAGGGTAAGGTCATCAGCAGGAGGCAGACGTTGTCATTTAGCCCAGCAATTTGACAACAGTGTTAGCTTACACTCTATTAGCCAGCAGCTACACCCTGACCCCTAACCTTGACATTGACCTCAGATGGCCCTCTCCTGAAGTAGACCCTGATCATTTGCAGGGACCCACCCTGCTGGTTAGCGAGCAAGAAGGCCTATCAGGACCAAGCAGGCCTCCCTGGTCACCCCTGCTCCCAACAGGAGGCATAAGGCTGGAAGTACAGAAACAAGCTAGAGTTGAACCCAGGATGGCAAAGGTGAAAGTTCAGAAGCATATCCATCAGCAGCTGTCACCAAAGGACAATGTTAGAGCTATGGAAGCTTTCAGCACAGGATAGCCGTTGTCTCCAGACAGTTCTGCTCCTTAATGGAAAAGACATATCAAAATATGGCTTACAAAATACAAAATAATGGACTGAGATGTACATTATATGAGGGTGTTAGATTGCAGTGTACTTTACAGTGGGGGAATTAGATTGAAGTGTTATGTCAGGGTAGTTAGGTTGAAATATGGATTACCCTAGGAATGTTAGCTTGAGATGTGCTTTATAACACAGTTGTTAAATTAAGACGTGCTCTTCAGTGCAGGCATTAGCCTGAGATGCGCATTATAGCAAAATTGTTAGGGGGAGATGTGGATTCCACTTTGGGAGGGGGATAAGAGCAAGGAAAACACCTTGTGTTGAATATTATTCAAGGTTACAGAATGTCTTCTGCATTACATGCATTTCGGGGGTTTGAATGCAGGGGGAATAAGAGCACAAAGCATATAATGTTCCTTCGCCTCTCCTTTCTCCCAGCCAAACAGTCTGCCACTTTCCCCACTTTTCCTGTTAGGGACTTAAAGGCCTCCCCCATCAATAAAAACATTAGCTCACTAAACAGCCTGATGGCTTTTCCTTCCCTGGCTTAACCCTTCGGGAGCTGGGGTCTCCTTTGGATTTGTAAAGATATTGATCCCAGATAATGTTTGCCTTCCTAACTCTCTCTTCCCTAGACTTGATGGATAGGTTCAGGGCTCCATCTCGGCAGCCAGCTCACCACAGCTACCCAGGGAAAGGGGATGGAAAGCAGGACAAGTGTTCAGTAGTTAACACCACCGGCATGCTTTCCTGGGATAGACAGGCAGACACGCAGCGGCTGGGGAGATGTGCAGGGGCTGCAGTCACTTTCGATCAACACACGATTTCACTTTCGATTCTCCTCATTCTTGTCCTGCTCCTTCTACCAATATATTTCTTCAGTTGAACTGAAGAGTGTTGCGTAATTTCTAATTAATATCAGATGCTATCTTGAGGTTGGCTGCCCTGAGTTGCATTTTTAAAGACCGCTTTTCCAATTAAAGGAAGCACTTTTCTACAGCATTATCAACATGGATGGATACAGGTAGCTGTGTCATTTGCTTGTGATGTTGGCCTAGATGGGAATGACTGATAAAGCCTAACCCTAGAATGCAAATCTTACCCAAGAAAAGTAAGTGAAGAGGAATGGGAACAGCATTTCGCTCGTCAGCTGCTTGGCCCACCAAAGTTCACCAATTGTCATCCTAACAGTGTTCTTATTCTTTCTTCTCTTGCTTAGCTCGGAAGATACAGTTTACGGCCTCTAGAAACCTAGCCGTGCACAAGCGGACAGCGTCCAGCTTTGCCGGAATCAGAGAGGTGAGTCCCAGCCTTCTTGTTTCTCAATGAAAGAAATGTGACGCCAGGTGAGTTACCACTGTCAAAAAGACTAACCTACCAGACAAGGGCACCAAACAAAACCCAGTAGTTCAAGGGAAATTGCAGTGTTACTGGACACCTCTGCATTGTGCCTTGAGGTTCCAGGAAAGAGGCAGGCGGGCATTTACGGGTGCATTTTGTCAGGCCCTATTTCTTTAGATAGAAAAGAAGGTTTGCTATAGGGACAACAGCACTTACCCTTCCCTGACTGAGCTTGCTATGGGCAAGACAAGGAATGTGACAGAAACATGCTTGACAGGTGACAAAGCAGTCCACCCACCCACCCCGTGATGTCTTTGCCAACCTCAGTCTCTTCGGTAGTATCCCAGCTCCTTCGCTGAGCATTTCCTGGGTAAGCACTTTAGAAATGTGCCTGATCCTCCAGACTGGGGTATTCTTTTCTCTTCCTGGTGTCCATGCCGGCCTCATTTTCTGACATCACGTTTTCCTTAAAAATAGGCTATGAGAGCTATTTCTATCCCCTGTCAAGGGATCTATCCAGCCAGACTCCCACGGGATATAAGAATAAGTTTAAAACCTATCCTGAAGACTAAAGAAAAAGAAGGGTTGGCTTAGTCCCAGCCTCTGTTTTTAAACAAATCTTCTGTTGGGTCAAGTGAAATATTTAGGGCCCCTCCCTGGAAGAGGAATTATAATATAGTTCTTTTGGAATACCACCTGAAATTCCACCCCAGAGAAGAGACCAAATCGTATCACGACAGGATCATGGCAGCCTGGTGGCTGGAGGCAGCTTTGGAATCAGTCCCACTGAATTGTTTTGTGAATTTGGGCTAATCAGTGGACTTTTCTGAACCTCAATTTTTCCATCCATAAAATGGGTTTGATGGTAGTATCAACCTCACAGGGGTATTAAGAGCATCAAACAGGCTAACACACATAAAATGTTGAGTCTTATGCCTGCCGCACACTAATCACTCAGCTAATGGTGTCAACTTTGTCATTTTATTACCATGCCAACACCTAGTGGGAGCAGTGTGCCAATTTGCCACAAATCCTTCGGCCATTGCCTTATCACATACCACACTGACCCTCGTGCGCTCATCAACACATCTGGTTTTAGAAAAATGCGGTATCTCTTAGCCTCACTCCTTTACTGTTTATGGGGTTTTTCTCTGCCCAGGGAGAAGGGCAGCCCTGCCACTGAAGGGAGAGACAGATTAGAAGGGCCTCGCAGATGGAATGTAATCCCCCCTCTGTACTCGCTGGTAACTAGCCATGATTGTATTTCAAAGGTAACAGTTCGTCTCCACCACAGGGATTGGCGCGCACTCCACAAATAGGGCCTAATGCGATCCGACAAGCCTGATTTCTCTAGATATATATTAAAACAACATGCCCAGTGCTGATGGCTCCAAGGTCCCAACCTTTAACAAGGACGTATGACGTAAAGCAACCTGCCCAGGAGAGCAAGCAGGGCAGAAGGCCAGAGGGACAAGGTCATCGGCTAATGAAGTGGTCAGCATCGAGTTTCTGTCACTCAGCTGGTTAAGAGGAAACTGAGAGGGAAGGAAAAGAAAATGGGAACATTGAAGAAGCAAGGAGAAGGACCACATTTGAGCCAACACTCCGATGTCAGAAGGCAGGGTGGGGAAACACACTCCGTCTGGGCCTTCGTTGTGGCCTGGCTCAGTTTCTCCTGCTGAACACAGGCTAGTTGAAAGAGCGTTTGGAAGCAGCTAACCCCAGGTTAGAGCAAAAATGAGCAAGTATTCAACCAGCCCGGAATTTGGTTCAGATCAGCTCCAGACACACAGTAAGGAAAAGCTGTCAGGAGCATGGGGGGGCGGAAATGGGCTCCAGACCTTTTCTCTCTGCATTCTGGGCACACTACCCACTGAGCTTCAGCGTCATTATCTGGAAAACTGAAAAGGTACCTACCTCAAAGGGAGGTTGGGTAGAATTAGATGATAAAATTCAAGTAAAGGGCATAGTGCCATGCTTGGCCCAAAATAATGGCTCAAATGCCAGCAGTGATTAATTATTGTTACTCCATGGGCTCTAACAACCTTAGAAAGGGGTGGAGGAGGACATGTAAAAATGAGTGATAAGTTGTGTGCTGTGTAGCAAGGGAACAGCTCCACCAGTCTCGCAGTGATCATTTCCAACGCCTCCCATTGGGAGGGCACTTCAAGCTTTTGAACCACTCACCCAGTCAGTGAACATTTCCTGAAAAGTGCTCAATGCTGAGCCCTCTGCTAGGTCCTGGGATGGCGCTGTATTGCATCAGTCATTCTTGACTTCATTCTTCACAGCCTTGCTGGGGAGGCAGAAACCTTGACACTGACAGCATAGGTGATAGTATACTTCCAGATAAGGCATGGGGTGGGGACAACCAGCTCTTTTCATAAGAAGGTCATAGAGAGGTCAAATCTGTTACATCACAGGATCCTCCAAATGCTGCCTCAGGGCAGGTAAGGCTGACATCACTCTCCCCATGCATTTTATGTCTAAAAGGTTGAGACCCTGTCAAATTACCGCCCTTACCTTTGTTTGCAGCAGTCCCTAGTAGGACTGCGACCATTATCCCAGTCGCCAGCTGCCAGGAGGGAGCCTCCTTGGCAGTATCAGCATGAATCGTGCCCACTGATGGCCGTCGAGGTCCAAAAACATTTCTCATAATTGGCAGTATGATCTTAGCCAGGTTATAATCCAACTCCTGAAATATCCCAACACACAAAGATGCAGAAGGTTTCAGTTCCATTGCCTGAGTTATTAAATAGGTCTTTTCAAGCCTTTTCCCTTTCATTTCTAAAAGTGAAGCACTTGGAGCTGGGAGAAGAAGCCCTGAATGGAGAGATGAGGACCAGCACACCTGTCTAGGCAGCGCACACTTACCGATGTGTCCCAACGAAACAAGCATCCCTCAGGTCCCCAGACTGGGAAACCTCATGTTCCCTGCTCACCTCCGCCTTATGGAAATGATAGGAGGGTGAACCGAAGGCATTGATCTGGGAAAGCATTTTGAGGTTATATGGGAGCATAAAGTTCCAGTGGAAACAATTATCAAATTAGGTTGTAGCAGCCTGGGAATGGAGCCTTGAAGCATCCCCAAGGCAACCACCCCGCTTCCCATCAGGACCCAGACAAAACTTCTTTCTCAGGATTCAGTTCCTTGGGAATTTTCTGGGCTTGGAGACCCCAGTGAAGCAGCACAAATATTCATATACTGTTAACCAAGACTGCTCTCCTTTTTTCTTTCAAAATGCGGACCTAGCTTTAAGCCTTTTTTTTTTCTCTGATTATAGAGATAATATATAATCTCTTTTTAAAAACACAAGCTGTTTGTCAAAGCATTAAGAAAATTTTGAGTACTGGAAGTCCACCACCGAGCAGCAAACGCTGTTAACCTGCGCTACATCCTACCACATGTGTCTCCTGCGTGGATATGTATGTGTCTTGTGTCAGTGGTATTGTATTATATAGGCCGTCCAAAACAATACAGCATGTCAGTGAATCATAGGTTCACATGGTCCTTTTCAATGACTGCGCTGCCTTCCGGCGTTGGATGTGCCATCACTCATTCCACCAACCCCCTGGGGATGGGCAGCAGCATTGTAAACGATAGTCATATGAACACCCTTGTGCTTGGTGAATCTATCCAATTGTCTCCTTAGGAGAACTTACCACAAGGTGTAATTGTTGGGGAAGCTGTCCTGCAAAAATGGGGGCTATAGCGAAATAAGGGCAACGGAAGGTGAATGTTCATACCCCCAAGATGAAGCATCATTCCAGGTGGTTCTAGAACCACATGCTTGGGAGTGTTTGCTGGGGTCCTTGGCGTGTTGGTTTACTTCCTTACCTCCTGTGCTCCTTGCTGTCGCCCCTGGGTCTGTCCCACATCACACAGCACTCCACATCCCCTGACCACTCTGACCCTCAGCCGCGAATTCCATCTTCCCTTTCCTGGGCTTTCTTCCCGGTTGCCTTTCTCCCTACGGGGCCCAAAGGTTGGTTAAATCCTTTGGGTAACAGTCGACACTGAGGCCAGCCAAGCAGGGAGTTGAGGTGGGTGATTACACTGCCATGTTTTAATTTGCCTTTGGACAAATTCTCATAAGCTTTCCCGAGGAAATCTCCCATTAGATGTAGTCATTTCATTTAAGAAGGTTCAGGAGAGGAAGATGACAGAGAGAAGAATACAGATGTGTAAATGCTGAGAGGGACTCAAAAGCACTCTGAGGATTTGGTATACGGTGAAGTGCAGTGTCTGCTTCTACTGCTTGTATCCGTGGACTTCAGAAGTTTCCAAGAAATCATTCAAATACAGGGATTTTTCTCAGATGACCAGCAGGTTTCATTATTTTCTTTTGCCTGTAAAATCATAACAAGGTCAACTAGAGAACTGGCTACCCCTTGTACACACCCCAAGTCCAACAAACATAAAAGGAAAAAAATTTGAGTAGCCTTGTAGGAAAGCAAAACAAAGAAAATAATAGTAAGGCTGCTGTCAGAGAGGTGTTTCCTTTCGTCACATTGCCACAAGATATCTTTTTAAATTTCATGCTTAACTCTGGTTCCCTTCAGATTTTGTGGACATCCTAATTTGGTGTTTGTAAAATTCAACATTTATTATTGTTTCAGGACCACAGTTTTTAATTTAATTATAATTTAAAGTTGCCTAATATATCCAGAGGTCACTAGTTATCTAAAAGAAATCAATAAAAACAACTTGCCATTTTTAAAAGCAGCATGTTTATTTGAAAGTCCCACAAACCACTCAACTGAGACATCATAAAGCCTTCAAAATAAACTAAAATGGAAACAAAATAAAACGTCTGGCCTTAATCTCCTTAGAAGGCAAGCAGGAGATGGTTGCAGCTAGCTGAAGGCTGCCATGAGAACTCTCAGAATAACTGTATTACTGAGTCTGGGAACCCTAATGTATGTTTTGACACCCACACTCCATATTGCAATCCATG